GGGTTATAATCCTAGCAATATGATTATGAGCAAATAACCCAACCTCTAGAAAAATGAGGATAAACACATCCAAGGTAATGAGGATAAAATAATGTAAAAATGGCAAAAGATGGCACCTGGGATATAAAATTACTGTCTGATAAATGTTAGTTTCTTTGTTTTTTCATGGCTCTGGCATGTGGTTTTCCACCAGAATAGTTTGTGGAATAAGATTTTCTATATACTTAGAATCTTTCATGGGCTCTTAGAAGACATTAAAATTTATACTGAATTATTTTCTTTACATAAGAGCAATTTTGCGGGGTATTATAAAAAAAAGTGGAAAACATTTTTAAAGGTTTTTAAAGGACTTCATGGGTTTTTTAGAGTGAGAAGCTTTGATGTTTAATTTTATGGTAGTTTATAGTCTAAGAATGGCGATTTACTGTTTTTGCTTTTCATATTAGACGTTTAAGGGACAATTGTTTATCAATGTGGAATGGGTGCTGATATAAACAATGTATAAGTATTAATTGAATAATAATGATGTTTCATGCACATATAGAGCAGTATTTAATCATTGAGGATTATATAGATTTAATTTTGTATAGTTTTTAATTTATCAGATGGGCAAAGTTAGGTAGGGGTTCTCTTAGCAGTATGTTGCAGGTACAGATCGGACCCTTAATTCTTCATGAGCATCATGCCTTTCCTAGTTTGCAGTGCCCTTTCTCCATAAACTGCCCTCCCTTTATCATTTACTAATTTGGAATGTGGAACTGCATGTTCTAATGTGCCTCACTGAATCACTGTAGGGCATTTTGGGGACATGTGAATGGGCATCTCTAAAAGGACTTCGTTGTAATGGAAATGAACTAACTTTTGCTAGAAACTTTTTTTGACAGAGGAGGTGGATTTTATTGAACTGTGTGTAATATAAAACTGTTCTGCGTACACAGCTATGATTTAATAATTAAAAAAAAACCCAGCCAACCAACCAAAAAAAACTATTTTGCAGCTGGGTACCCCTAGCTCAGTGGTTAGGGTGCCCGCCACATGCACCAGGGCTGCTAAACAACAATGACAACTAGAACAAAAAAATAGGTGGGCACTGTGGCGGGCACCTGTAGTCCCAGCTACTAGGGAGGCTGAGGCAAGAGAATTGCTTGAGCCCAAGAGTTTGAGGTTGCTGTAGAGGACGTCTCTGTCTCAGTTTAAAAAAAAACACAAAAAACAGCTGTTGCTGCATTTTATTCTCTTGATATTTTATCAATTTGTTTAATTGATAAATTGAGGATAGTAGACTGGGCAAGTCTTTAAAGAAGATAGGAAATCTTAAAGACGTGCCCCTACAGGCATTCTGAATTGCCTGTGGTATAGCTGCAAATCATGGTTTTTAAATTGATGTAAATTTAATATCACTTGGTTTAAAAATATTTAACTTACAGAATATTAGCTAGTTATTTCACAAAGTGCTGTTATAAATATACTAACTTCATGCATTTTAATTAATGCAGTTCTTTATAGTGTAATTGTGAAGGAAAGACTTATAACTTACTTAAAATTGTATGTTCAGCCAGGTGAAGTGGTGGTTCATGCCTGAAATACTAGCACTCTGGGAGGCCAAGGTGGGAGGATCACTTGAGGTTAGGAATTTGAGAGCAAAGCAAGATCTCATCTCTGCTAAAAAGAGAAATATTAGCTGGGTGCAATGATAGAAGATTATAGTCCCAGCTACTCAGGAGGCTGAGGCAGTGGGATCACTTGGCTGAGCCCAGGAGTTTGAGGTTGCTAAGGCCATTGTACTCTGCCTGTGTGACAGAACAAGAGTCTATCTTTAAAAAAAGAAAAAATGGGCTCAGCGCCTGTGGCTTGGGTGGCTAGGGCGCCAGCCACATACACCAAGTGTGCTGGGTTCGAATCCAGCCTGGGCCCACCAAACGGCAATGACGGCTGCAACCAAGAAATGGCTGGGCATTGTGGCGGGGGCCTCTGGACCCAGCTACTCGGGAGGCTGAGGTGAGGGACTCCCTTGAGCCCAGGAGTTGGAGGTTGCTGTGAGCAGTGGTGCCGCAGCACTCTACCCAGGAGGACAGCTTGAGGCTCTGTCTCATTGAAAAAAAAAAAAAGTTCAATTTTAAGTGTTTTTTTTTTTAATTTTTTTTTCTCCTTGAAATACCTTTTGGTAGGTATTAGAAGAAGATTAGAAATTTTAAAAAATATACCTCAGTATCTTACTGTACCTGCCTCTTGGAATCAGCCACCAGTGTTACCAAAGAAACATGTACAGGTCTGTAGATAAGCAGTTGTAACTTTGATACTAAGTATGAGCAAAATGTTCTTTCTCCAAGTTGATGAGTGCTTGATAAATAATGCTATCAAAAGTAGCATTGAGAAGCTAGCAAAAGAATCATTGCTAATGAGAGAGTAAGGGATACTAAATCACTAAGTTGCTTTTAGTGGTTATTTACACTTTCCGATTGGTTGGGTTTATATTTTTAGTTATAGCTAGTATATTTCAACACTGTTTATGACCACATCTTTTAAATAAAGAATGGAAATGTTTAAGTTTCATAATTTACCACTTTAAAGTTCTGATATTACTCATTTGTTCTTGTTGAACAGGAGTATGTTTTGCCTATCTAAGTATATTAATTAATACTTAAAGTACTATAGGAGTATTGAATTTTAGAGTCAAACAAGATTGTCTTATTTATTGTTGCATAAAAAATTGCACCAGCTGGGTGTGGTGGCTCATGCCTATAATCTAGCACTCTGGGAGATGGAAGAGGGTGGATTGCCTGAGCTCAGGATTGGAGATGAGGTTAAGCAAGAGAGAGACCCCATCTCTAAAAATATAGCTGGGTGTTGTGGCGGGTACCTGTAGTACTAGCTACTCAGGAGGCTGAGGCAAGAGAATCACCAGAGTCCAAGAGTCTGAGGTTGCTGTGTATACTATGCATTTAACCCCAGGTGACTGAGTGAGACTCTGTTTCTAAATAAATAAATAAAATAAAATAAAAAATTGCTCTAGAATTTAAGGGCTTAGGACAACATCCATTTAATATCTTAGTTTCTGTGGGTTAGAAATCTGGGTGCAGCTCAGCTGGGTGTCAGTGGCTCAAGGTCCCTTATGAGATGGCAGTCAAGCTATTAGTTGAGGCTGTTGTTGTATCTGGAGGTTCTAGAGGTAGGAGATTTGCTTCCAGATGTATTCATGTGGCTCTTGTAAGATTGAGATCCTTGTGGCTGTTAGACTGAAGACCTTGGTTTTTGCTCACTATTGGCCAGAGGTTTCTCTCCGTTCTTTGCCATGTGGGCCTCTCCAAATGGCAGCTCACAGTGTAACTTCTGTCAGGAGACGAATGAGAGAAGGTGACATCCAAGACTTTTTACAACCTAATCTTGGAAGGGTTTCTCATTATTTCTGCTGAATTCTATTTGTTAGAGGCTGCCTACCACAAGGACTTTAGTTTACTTTTGAAAGGTTGAAGGAGAAAACAAAGAAAGAAAGACACAAAGATATACAAAGTAATTTGACCAAGGCTTGGACGTGGACGGTAATCTCTTGAAGAATTTAAACTAACTCAAATTCACTGATACCCTAGGCCTAGGCTCTTTATACAACATTTTGTTTTTTTAGGAAATAAAAAAATAATTAGAAAGACACTCTTGTAAGAAAAATATTAAAAGTTCTCAAAGTTATTTTGAATTGTAATCAGTTTTTCATCTTGAAAAAAATGGTAGCCAAATACAGGAGTGTGTGTGTGTATCCAAGTTTACTTCTGAGGGAAAGTTCGATTTAAAGTTTTATAGCATGAAAAAAGTGATTGGATGTAATCCTTTTGCTATACATCAACATTGTTACTTTGTAGACAGTGTTTTTGGGGGGAGGTCTGCTGTACATATGTATATTGTATAAACTTCTCATTACGCTATCCTATGATTTGTTTATTTTGGTTTTTCTGTCCTTCTTTGGCACCTGTTTCTAAATTTAAATGAAGAAGAGATATACCCTGTGAAAAGAAATATAACCAAGGGGAAGGAGTCAGGTTGAGAGGGAAGCAAATTCAGATGTAGCAGTGGAATGTATTATGATCATGACTTTTTTTGGAAAAAAAAATTTTTTTTTTGAGACAGAGTCTTACTGTGTTGCCTTCAGTAGAGGGCTGTGACATCATAGCTCACAGCAGCCTCAAACTCTTGGGCTCAAGCGATCCTCTTGCCTCAGCCTCTTCAGTAGCTGGGATTACAGGTATCTGCCACAATGCCCTGCTAGCTTTTTTTTTTTTGAGACAGAGCCTCAAGCATCACAGCTCACAGCAACCTCCAACTCCAGGGCTCAGGTGAGTCTCCTGCCTCAGCCTCCCAAGCAGCTGGGACCACAGGTGCCTGCCACAACGCCCAACTATTTTTTGGTTGCAGCCGTCATTGTTGTTTGGCAGGCCCAGGCTGGATTTGAACCCGCCAGCTTAGGTGTATGTGGCTGGCACCTTAGCCATTTGAGCCACAGGCTCCAAGCCAAACAGAGCTGTTTAAAACATGTTTACAGGAAGGGGAATGTACATTGAATATTAATTTCAAACTTTTAGATTTGTTTTTAACAGCTTCAGTTTTGCTGGGATTATTTTAGAATTCTAGAAGCTACAACTAGGAAAAAAGAATTCTAGAAGCAGAAAGGACTTTGTACAACAGTCTAGATCTGCACTGTCCAGTATGGTAGCCACTGGCCACGAATGCTGATTTAAATTTAAATTCACGTGAAAGAAAATTGAACATTTACCTTTTGGTTGCTTTAGGCATGTTTCAAGTGCTCAGTAGCCATGTGTGGTTAGAAGCTATTGGATTGGGGAACATAGTGGAGAACACTTTCATCATCATAGAAAGTTCCATGCTGATCTGGATCAGTTACATTTTATATTTGATTTTGATCAACAACATGTGTTTAAGATGCTAGTCATTGAGGTTGCCAACTAAGTTGAACTTTATTTCTTCATTTTCATTTTCCAGTTTCTGGAGCCCTGAGGGATACAGCAATTTGGTCAATATTGTCTTAACATGCTTCAAATAAATCAGGTGAGTTTGTGTTAAGGCATTTTACTTACAAGGTACTTTGGCTATAAATTGTAAAACATTTAAACTCAGTCTTTCTATAACTGTAACCTGACCACCACTTTTAAGAAAAGTTACATACTGTATAATCAATGGAGACTGTAGGACAAGTTGCTTAAGGATAATAGCGATCATTCTGAAAGTTGATATCTGCCCAATGTGCAGAGCAGAAAGTTTATGTGTTCTTGATGTCACATCCCTCTAGGACTTGTTGGTGTGTTCAGAATGCTTATGATCATGATATATTGTAAGTAGGTGGCAATTCTGCAGACTCAAAGAACTTCTAGTGACAAATCTTGAGAAATACTTGTATCATTGTTAAAAAACAATTCCATTCTAGTGCATTGCAGAGGGCCAGAAGGAAGTGCTCTGCTAAATAAACTGTAGCATATAATGCTTTGGACTCACTGAAAGAAGTATTTTTCTTAGTTTTTGGCATTTCTCCAAGAACTTGACATATTTAATTTTACCTTTTTTGAACAAGTAGAACATAACTGTAGTATTAGAAAATACTTTGTTTTATTTCATTGATTGCAAATCAAGAGAAATAGAATTAAACTTTCTTCTGTAATTTTTTAACTTTGTTTCAATTTTCATAATATAATTAACAAAAATAATCCCAACTCACTGCCCTCCACCATACAGTTTCATGCACCTTCTCTAAGAAAATCTCCAGATTTTGGCTTGACGCCTGTGTCTCAAGTGGCTGAGGTGCCAGCCACATACACCTAAGGTGGCGGGTTCGAATCCAGCCCGGACCCGCCAAACAACAATGACAGCTGCAACCAAAAAATAGCTGGGTGTTGTGGCGGGCGCCTGTGGTCCTAGCTACTTGGGAGGCTGAGGCAGGAGACTCACTTAAGCCCAGGAGTTAGAGGTTGCTGTGAGCTGTGATGCTACAGCACTCTACCCAGGCGGATAGCTTGAGGCTCTGTCTCAAAAAAAAAAAAAAAAAAAAGAAAATTTCCAGTTCTTGTGCATCACATACCATCTCTACACCAGTGTCTTCTAAGTTTATACCTGGTCTAGACCTTTTTCTGAACTCTAGACTCAGGTAGCAGTTACCAACTTGATCTCTTAACTTGGATGGCTTTATATATCTCAGACTTAATGTGTGCCCAAGAAACAGTCTACTGTATTTTGCCATGTATAATGTGTACTTTTTTGCCCAGATTTCTGAGGGAAAAGTAGATATTCATTATACAAGGGTGTAGTGGTAATGGTGTATCTACATAAATATTTTTAATTCTTTTGTTTATGCTTATGCCTTAAAAGTGTAACTCTTTCTTGTATCAATATGTTAAAAATAAATGTTAAAATTCCTTTGTTATACAAAAAGCATGTGCCTAAATATAAACAAATAAAAATTTGAATTAAAAAGTTAAGAAAAATATTTCTTTCCTGAAAGTTTGGACCAAAAATGTGGGTGTACATTATACATGGGAGTTCATTTATACATGGCAAACTATGCTAAATGTTTCAGATATACTGGACTGTTTTAGCTCCTAGATTGGGCAAGGTTGTTCCAGCTACAGGGGGTTTGCACAGAGTACCTCTGTCTAGATCTCTCTTCTTCTCTGTGTTTGGCTCACTTGACTTTAGGTCTAGTATACGCTCTCATAGAGCCCTGCTCTTTTGTATAATGCCGTCATGACCTTTGCAGTTATAATCAAATATGTAATTATTTGTTTGACGTCTATCTTCCTTGCTAGAAGGTATGTTTCATGAAGACAGTGACTTGGTTGTTTCCATTATATCTGCAGGTTCCAAAATAAATAATGTAAGTAGTTTTCACATATTTGTGAGTTGAGTGGATAGCAGTGCTAGAGTTGTCACTAAAGCAAGGAGATCACTATTCTTTTCAACAATAGTGACATAATTGTGTTGCAACTTCGGTGTGTGATGCTTGTGTTACACAAATGCAATTAACATAAAATCTCCCTTATGCAAAGTTTTTTGATTTTTCTTTTGTACTTTTCTTTTGTAACAAATCAACGTTTTTGCAACTTCTTGTTTAAAAAGAATTTGTTTTCATCAAAGACATTAGTAATAGTGTATCAGCATAAAGGAATCTTAAACTTATATGTGCTTAGTGCTTCCTGTAGTGTCACAGCTGCTATCAAATCCCAGTGGCAGCATTGATGACTCTTTCTGAGACCTGATTTGCGAAGTGTGTTGTAGGTGTGAAGTTGCCACTAAATGACTATCTGCAGATACCTGCCATTAATCATATGGCTACAATTAGAATAATTTGTTTCATATTTTATCATTGGCAGATGGAAATGACCATTTGTTTTATGCCAGCCACCTTCATGGAAAATTATAGTTTATGGATTAGTTAGTTCTAATAAGGATGTACTAACTGGCTATGTTGCAGGTCATGTTGACTCAGGCATTGAAGATGATTCCTGGCTGGCCACAGCATCTCGTTAGGCTTTGGCTAGAAATTGTACACAGTGCCTGAGGATGTACATACTTAACTTATAGAAGTCAAATATCCCTTTTCAAAAATGCTTGGGATCAGAAGTGTTTCAGATTTTGTATTTTTTCAGATTCTGAAATACTTGTGTACTGATTGTCCCGAATCCAAAAATCTGAAATCCAAAATGCTCCAGTGAGCATTTCCTTTGTCTTGTTCAAGGTGCTCAAAAAGTTTTAGATTTTGGAGCATTTTGGATTTTGAATTTTCAGATTTGGGATGCTCAGCCTTTAACAGGGATGTATCCCTAGAATCACTGAAGGATTCCTTCTTGTTATTGATTGTAGTTTTTTCAAAATGTTCAAGTCTGAGAAAAAGACTTTATTCAATGTAAAGTTGAGTTTTCAAACTTAGGAGTGATTTTTATCTTTTACTGTTTTCTTGGTGACTGTCTTTTATGAAAATGAAGGTTCTCACTTAAGATAAATGTTAATAGCATAGAAAGGGGATTTAAGCCAATCCTCAACTTGAAACAATTGAGGTTTTTACTATGTGGTTTATTTATTTATTTAGGCAGAGTCTCAAGCTGTGTAGAGTGCTATGGTGTCACAGCTTACAGCGACCTTAAACTCTTGGGCTCAAGCGACTCTCTTGCTTCAGTTTCCCAAGTAGCTGGGACTACAGGTGCCCACCACAATACATGGTTATATTTTTGGTTGTAGTTGTCATTGCTGTTTGGCAGGCCTGGGCGGGATTTGAACCCACCAGCTCCAGTGTGTGTGGCTGGCACCCTAGCCGCTGAGCTACAGGTGCCGAGTCTGTTTGTTTATTTTTATTTTGAGACAGAGTCTCACTTCCATGGTGACAGCCAAGAGCACAGCAACCTAAAACTCTTGGGCTCAAGCGATCCTCTTGCCTCAGCCTCCTGAGTAACTGGGAGTATAGGCACTCCATGATGCCTGGCTACTTTCTCTGTTTTTAGTAAAGATTGGGGTCCTGATCTTTCTCAGGCCTATCTTGAACTCCTAAGCTTAAGCAATCCACCTGACCTGGCCTCCCAGAGTGTTAGGATTACACTGTGCCCGGCCTAGTATGTGATTTTTAATACTGTCTCTAGGATTAGTACTAAGTTTTTTATTTGGGAAGTCTTTTCATTCTGTAAATGCCTGAATTATACTCTTTTTTAGTCCTGACATATTCTTCCATGTATGCTCCTGAAAGTAATTAAAAACTAGACTATAATAAGTTATTTAGTATTTTCTTTGATTTAACTTTGCCTGACATTAGTTTTTTTTTAAAGAGACAGAGTCTCACTTTGTTGCCCTTCATAGAGTGCTGTGGCATCACAGCTCATAGCAACTTCCAGCTCTTAGGCTTAGGTGATTTTCTTGCCTCAGCCTCCCAAGTTAGCTGGGACTGCAGGCGCCCTCCCACAATGCCCGGCTATTTTTGTTACAGTTTGGCTGGGGTTCGAATCTGCCACCCTCAGTATATGGGGCCAGTGCCCTTCTCACTGAGCCTTAGGTGTCGCCCCTGACATTAGTATTATTATGGAACATGGTAGTGTTCCATGTTCAGTTACAATAACGGTACTTTTGTGCCTTTAAATTGAGATCCTCATTTTTACTTTTGGCTTTTAAGAATGTGTTACTATCCATGTGCAACCCATACTTACTGTAGAAGAATTAGATGGCATTGATAAACAAAACAACAAAAAAAATCACAAGAATCAGTGTAACCTGGTTTCTTGTATCCTCAATGAATCCCCAACAATAAAAAAAAAAAAGAAAGAGAGAAATAGACATATTGAATAAAAAAATATCACAAGAAATTCCACTATTCTTTTGTGGAGATAATCACTGGTAACATTTTGGAGTATATACTGCTAGCTTTTTTTCTATGAAGGTATGTTTTTATGTGGATTTAATAATCTTATTTTTGGAAGTACTAAAATTTATTTAAACAAGCCCTTATTGTTGCACAGATTTTTATAGTGTAGTTAATGCCACAGTAAGCTTTATTTTACACGTATTTGTCCATTAATTTTTCTAGAATTACAAGAAATGGAAATACTGGTCAAAAGGTAGATTTTAAAGACATTTGATATATAAATACCAAAAATACAAAATTATATTTACTAGAAATATATGAGAATGCCTATTTCTTTACTTCCTTGGCAAATTTTGAGTTTTTGCCAATCTGTCTGACAAAAGTGGTATTTTAATTTGTATTTCTGTGATTTGCTTCTATTTGTTATTTTGTGTTTTGCTTTTTGTAAAATGCTTATATTGTGTCTACTGTCATCTTTTTATTTGTACTATTCTTTGGATTATATATATATCCCCTGAGAATGTTCTGAGTTAGTATTTGTAAGCATTACTTTATGTTTTTTCATTCATTGCTAATGAACAAATAACTGGGAAGTACTACATAGTTTCCAGGGTACTGTGATAGACAGGGGTTTGGTGTATTTGGGGCCCTGTTTCTCTGATGATTAATTCCCCAGGGAAAGGAAACTCATTTTAGTATTAAGCTGTATCTAATA